ACAGTTGTTTTTGTTCGAGGGTGAGCTTAATGGTGGTGATATTGACTGTTTCCAGGACTTCAAAGTTGGTGATGTGGCTACACCAGTGGATCTTGAGGATACAATGAGGTAGCACTTGATAGAAACATAGTGGAAGGTGTGCACACAGTACTGGACCATGGCTCAATGTCATACAGAGGGTGATGAGGACTAGACTTTGTGCACTTTGATCTAATTGTGCTCTCAAGTGTGATTGCTCCACACTTAATTGGGGAGTTAGTTGAATACACTGCTTGTTTTAGAAAATGTATTGTCCACTTCTCACTCTATAGTGGCATCAATCAAAATGATGCTCCACAAAGCGAGATGCATGACACCTTTACATAATTCATTACTGTTCCTTTGACAATGCTTATTGGTCTATACTCTTGTTGGGTGCAGCCTGTTGCCTGGAGAAAACATGTTTGCGTATATTGCAGATCTAACTGATTGAGGGCCAGGAGAGCACAGTCACCAGTGAAAGGAAGCATATGGATGAGTTTTTCTTGCACATTTAGGTAAGCCTAAAGATGCCACAGTCATTGAGTCATAGAGATGAACAACACAGAAACAGACTGTTCAGTCCAACTCATCCATGCCAACCAGATATCCTAGATAATTCTAGTCCCATTTGCTAGGTTTGAAGAGGCGTCCATCACTTCTGAAGCACATCACTGAATGCCTCCTTAAAGCCTTTGTTTGCCAGCAGTAGTGAAGAAGATGCTAAATAAGGTCAGGGCCAACACACATCCCTGTTTCACATCATTGAAGATTTCAGAAGGAACTTGAGAATTCACTGTTTTGCTTGACTTGTCTGCACTGGTTTTCATTAAACTGCTACATCCTGGCCAGGGATCTGATTGGGTATCCAAGTTTTTCAAGGATTTTCCAAAGATGAATCTCTGTTCAATGTCAGATGCCTTTGTGAGATATACAAAAGTGACTTAAAAGCCTTTGCTATGCTCACACCACTTTTCTTGCATTTTTCTGAGTACAAATACCCTGCCTAGTGTACCTCTATTTGACCTAAAACTGCACTAGCTTTCTGGCAAGCTTTTTTCCTTCATGAGGATAGGTGTGAGCCTGTTCAGGGGTATTCCAGCCAGGATCTTCCCAACAACAGAAAAGAGGCTGATCTCATGATAGTTGGAGCTATATGAATTTTCCCCTTTGTTTTTGTACAATGTGATGGAGTCAGCATCACAAAGATCCTGTGGAATCCTGCTCTGTTCCCAGAAAGTTATAAAAAATCTCAAGCAGTTCGATAGGTAGGGCAGGGCTAACATACTTCAACACTAGGAATTCCATCAAGTTTGGGGACTTTGTTGTTCTTTTTCTGGTCACTGGTGATCACAGTTTCCTCCAGAGTTGAGCTCTCATCCAGTTCTTTTTTGACTGGCTGTCATTTAATGTGGTTGATGGCAGTATCATGCCCTGTGTACTTGGCACTAAAGATTGCTTTAAAGTTCTCTGATTATCAAACCAGGACTGATGTCATGGGATCTTGCTATCATTGGTCCTCGGGCGTTTCTGGTTTGATGTGTTGGTCCAAAGACAGATTTTACTACTGTATTGAAGCTTCTTAGGTTGCCATTATCAGTGTACAATTGGGTTTTTCTGCAAGTACGATCCATTTGGAGCTTCCTATGTTTATGTTGAAGAGTACTGCAAGCTATCTCAGGAGAGACTCATGAACTGACATCATTATTGCCAGAGGATTTAAACTTTCCCTGTCATTTTCATCAAACCTGTCCCTGTTCTCCTTGGTGCTGAAATTGATGACCTGGCTGGAAGTTATCCAGTACTGCAGCTTGGATGCGCTCCCAGTGTTCTTCTGACATTAATGCTCCGTCTATACTTAATTATTATTCATTATTTTGCTCTAATACCTGGACACACAACAGGTAGGGTAGGTAATCATACAATCAAGGAAAGAGACATCTGGAACCTATAATGCACATGTGAGTAAGAGAAAAAAAATTGAGCTGTGGTAAAGATTCAGACTACAAGAAAATAAGTAGGGGAGCCAAAAACAAAATAAATGATGCAGTCCTAGATTGTCATGCAGGAATCAGTTGGTAGGTGATGCCTGAAATGGAACAGGTACATCTAGACCCTGGGATTACTCATAGTCTGAGGGACATGAAACTAAGATTTTTGAGAACTGGACCCTGAGAGCTTTTCAGGAGAAAAAGGTATATGGGACTGAGGCTAGTTAGAGTGGGGTTGTGGGGTGGGGAACGAGGCTGGGATCCAGATATTTGGCATTGAGCCTGGAAGACTCAGGACACAAGACACAGCAACCTAAGTTTTTGAAATAGCCAGGATGTTCTGAAAGCACTTGTGGTGCTAAGAGGATTTGAAGGAGATGGGCACCTAGAATACGTGGACTAGATGATTAGGCAAGAGAAGAACCATTACTTTTGGGAAGGTAGGAATACTTTTGGAATGCAAACATACAGAATATTGTCACGTTGGCAAGTATGGACAAATATGGTCTGCGCTGACGTGTCTGAATTGTTCTTACAGGAAAAATATTAGACAAAAATCTTTTCATCTCCCTCCCTCTTTCACATATACAGTAAATGAAGAGCATTAATTGGGAGGCTATGGTTGTAGAGCAAAAAAAGAATAAAAATGCTACGGAGGCACAATATTGAATATTCCCATTGATACTGCAGTACCATTGTGCTACAGTCTAAAAACCAGCAGTTTACATCTAATGTCGAGACAAAGACCCTAAAACAGAAACAAAATTATTAAAGGACACTACAGTGTTTTTTGCAAAAGGAGCAAAAGAAAGTTTGTAAAATATGCTGAAGTAGATCAAAAAGAAGCAAACAAAAGGCTGGGATAAAAGTAGAATAAAAAAAAGAAAGGAAAATATTTTACACATCAGTTAACCTCACAAAGTAATTAATGTGAGATACAGAAGTTGTGAACCACAGACAAATAGATTGGAGAAATCAAGGGCTTCCAAACAAAGAATGTCTTGAAACACTAGCTTAAAGCACTTGAACTCTAGAATCAAGGATTTCTGACTTTGAGATCCTCAAGCAAGAAGACAACTACTGATGATACACAAAGAACCAGCATCAACCAACTGAAAAGGAGGAGGGCAGGGGGGAATTGTGATGACAAGGATTTTAGTTGAACATGACAGAACTAATTACAAGAATGCACAGAGGATAAGCAAAGGGAATGTGTCATGGCAGCTGACTGGAAGTTAGGAAATTATTTTGAGGGATTTGTTTAGTTTGTTTTGTAGCTGTTCACTGTTCTTTTTAAAAGACCATAAAATTATTTTGAGAAATCGAGTAAATTTTGGTCTTCACATAGATGTAGACTGAACCTCTCGTAAAGTTGGACAGTGATGTATTCTGCCAGGTTACCTCCCAGTGGCAATGAAGAAAATTATCCTTACTGTGCTTTTCTTTCAGTGCACCTCGTACCCTTCAGATCCACATCAGATGCAAAACTATTAACTGTGGAAGTTATGTCTGCATAATCTTTACATTTATTGATTGATAAAGCTTCCACTTGAACAAAATGTGTTTTACAACCATGACGTTCCTTTCTTCTGGGATTTGTAATTAGGGTGCAGTTATCATTAAGTTCTAAAACCAGAGGGGCCATAAGGAGCAGTTATTGTGGTTTTGGAAGCAATATGTCATGCATCACAAATTCAATGGAATTCTTTGGGGAGGTAACTAAATTAGTGGACAAGAGCAATTCCAAAGACATAATTACTTATATTTTCAAAAGATAAAGTTCTGTCTCTTAGATTTGAAAAGACAACAAAAGATACATAGAATTAATGGGAAATTAGTTAGCTGGTTTGAAAATTAGCTTAGCAATAGAAAGTAAAAGGTAATGATAAATAAACCTGGGTCTATTTGGCAACCAGTGATAACTGGAGTTAAGAATTATTTTACAAGATTCAGAAAGCATTTGGACAAAATAAGCTAAGTAGGCTAAGGAAGGACATAATTGGTGTTGACAAATATGCAGTGAAATTAGAAACAAGACGACTTCATAAATAACCATTAACAAAAGCAGAAGAAAGAGAAATATCATTGATATCAACCAAAAGAAACCAAACAACTGAAAGCTGTTATGAGGGACCTGGATACACTTTGTTTAATGCAGCACACTCATGTTTGTTTAATCCTGTCTGATTTCTTGACAAAATGGAATTTTGAATATTGTATGCAATCAGTGAAGACTGAATAATGCATGATTGCCTTTGGGGTCACACAGTAATTTCATTTCTCATCATCATGAAGGTTTCACCTGTAGTTGGTCTTTTGGCTCCCTCAGTAGATTAAGAAAATTAGGAAGTTCCCGTGAGAAGTCAAATTATTAATTGGGAAGGGACAGATTTCGCTGGTCAAATGATATTTTCTTATTGCATTCCATTCTAGCAGATCACGCTTTAATGAAAATTTGTTAACAATGTAAGAAATGCTGAGCTATTTGGAAGTTGTAGAAACACGATGTAACAACAAAAAGTAAGTGTAGCAGAATTACGTATTAGCAACAATAGAAAGTAAAGAACAGCAATGAGAAAGTAATGTACTTTTGATTTAAAGTCACAGTCTGTAGGTCAATAAAATGAGACACTAAAGCTTTTGTTGGTCCACAAAGGTTTGCATATGTTCTAAACTACACTATGGATCATTTTGAACTACAGCCTAGATAGGCTCACTAAAAGGATACAGTGTCTTTAATGTGACAACGTAGCCTTGAAACTGTTTGCTTTGCATGTGGTTTCAGTAAAAAAAAACTTTAACTTATGTTCACTTTATGTTCCCATGTCAGTTGTTTGTAATTAAATACTTATTAATTTCTTTAAAATGGACAAGTAACCGAAGTTAATAAACACAATTAAATAAAATTCACTACTGTTTGGGCAAAGGAGCCCTACCTGTTGCCATAGCGAAATGCATTTAAAACGACCAAAAACACAAATTTGGACTTACCGAACCATACAGCTCTCCCTTCTCATTCATTCCGAGGTAGAGTCCACTGTCTACACCACGAATGCTGACCAGGCCAACTGCTATACTAATGAATTCCAGTATACCTAGTGACGATGACAACAATAATCATAAACAAACTTTTACTTTGTGACTTATAGCACATTATACACATGTGAAAGTTAAACTCATTGTAAAAGTACAGAATGTAAGAACTCCTCAGATTAATCAGTATCATTTCTTTGTTTAAAATGCTTAATAGTCTTCCAGTAATCAATTGGGATAAACATAGGGCAAAAATAATTAGAGAATCAATAATATATTGTTTGCATGCCTTAGATGGTCATCAGCTCTTTAACAATTTATGCATAGAATATTCTGGCATAATATGCAAAGAAATAGATGCTTCAAAATATTTTAAGGACAGGTATCTAGAGGAAAGCAAGCAAGACAGGATGCAATGGCCTAGGGGTACTATTGCTGCACCATAGTTCTAGAAACTCAGCTAATTTCCTGGAGGGACCAGGTTCAAATTCCACCAAGGCAGATGGCAGAATTTGCACTCAATAAATCATCTGGAATTAAGATGCTAATAATTGAAACCATTGCCAATTGTCAGGGGAGAAAAAACACATCTAAAATACTGAGCCCTGGATACAGTGGACATGGAGATGTTTCCACTAGTAGGAGTGAAGGACTACCCTTTAGGACTGAGATGAAGAGGAATTTCTTCAGCCAGAGAGTGGTGAATCTGTGGAACTCATTGCCACTGAAGGCTATGGGGGCCAAGCATTTGAGTGTATTTAAAACAGTGATAGATGTGTTCCCAATTAGTAGGGGGAATCAGAGGTTACAGGGAGAAGGCAGGAGAATGGGGTTGAGAAACGTATCAGCCATGATCAAATGGACAAGCAGAATTGATGGGCCGAATGGCCTAATTCTGCTCCTATATCTTATGATCTCAGAACATAGGCTGAAACATGTTTCATCACTGAAACATGCACATCCTAACAACTGAAGAGTCGTTACTTTTTTATTTCACTACACTTAGTAGGGACAATGTTCTGACAGGGGAAGTACTCTAAAAATAAAACAGGGGAGGAAATGCTTCCCTGCAACCTCCCAAAATTGGTCATTAATGGGAGATTTGCTAATAGCTTCATAATTAGGAAAAAGCTTGGTGCAAGCACATGCTATATAAAAGGGCTAGGATGAATTCTGCATCTATGAACTTTCAGAAGTCATTTGATATGGTGTCTTGCAAGAGGAGTTTTACAAGGACTGAAGAACATAATATGCTTCAAAAGGAAACAGAGATTTAAAATGATGTCTGTAGGTAAGAAAGTAGGGATAAATAGATGGCCTTCAGTTTAGCAATGATGTGCTCTAGAAATCTAAACCAGAAATTCTTCATGATTTCAATGTATGCATATTACATGGAGTTTAAGAGCACGAAGGTGTCAACTAAAATATAATGGGGTGAATGGTGGAAATGAATTACAATGAACAAATATAAAGGACCAAGTCATCAAAGACAGAGGTAAATGAATTATTGTGCAGGACTGGATCAACAGGAGTGCTGAGGTGGGAGAATGACCAAAGGAAATCAAATTTGATCATTGATTCAATGCAGGAGAAAGAGGTTTGTGTAGTGATAATTTTCTCTAGGACAACAGTGATTGTGGAGGATTTGGACACAGTCAAGATTGTGTTGTTTGAGAGAACCATACAATTGATTAGACATAAGTGATCTTGTCATTCAAGGATGCGCCTGGAATTTGTAAATGGTAAGTGTGGGGAAAGGTATCAAAAATTGGAAGGTAGGAGGTTGCCTAATCATTTTCCTTTGAAGCATTTTGAAATCTTTTACTATATTTAAGGTTCCAAGTTAAGCTGTGACACATTGAAGATAAAGAATTATTCAGTGTAAGGGCTAACTAAAAGGAAGACTTTTTGGATGTTTGGACAGGCAATGCTCAAGGACAATTTATGTGCAGCATCTGTTCAATCATCAAATTTTCCTTTCATTGTGCCATTCATCCACCTCAACACTGCTGCTGACCTTACACCAAACATAAATCAGTTGATCACCCTGCAAAGAAGCTCAGTTAAGCTCATGAACGTGAGCCCAAGCTTCTGGTTACCTGTTATTTTAATATTTGCTACATTCCCAAACTGAACTTTCTGTTCTCGTCCTCAAACACTATGCCAATGATGCTCAAGGCAAGTTTAGCAAACAGCACCACATACTTCAGTTAGACATTTCACAGCATTCCAGACTCAATGTTGTGTTCAACAATTTCAGATCATAGCCTATGTCCTTTTCCTTGGACATCAGTGTTTAGGTGATCATTCTGCCTTGCCAGTTACGCCTTCTCCAGACACACCTTATGTTCTTTTACCTGTCTTGTTTTTATCTTTTTTCATAGAATCCCTACAGGTGGAAAGAGGCCATTCGACCCACCGAGTCTCTACAAATCCTCCGAAGAACAGCCCACCCAGATCCATTTCCTCCCTGCTCCCCCCATCCCACCCCCACCCCACTGTGTTTATCATGGCCTGCAAACTGGAGCACCAGCAGAAACCCACGCAGTGGGAAGAATGTGCCAACTCCACACACACAGTCAGTCATCCAAGGCTGAAATCAAACCCGGGTCCCTGGCGCTATGAGGGAATTCATTAATCTCTCATGCCTTCTACCCAATCACAGATTTACCATTTAGTCTTTTCTCCAGTCCCCGTTTACCTGCTTTGATTAAAAGCTCTCTCACCACTAAGCGCTTCCAGTTCTGATTAAGGCTTCGATTCTATCTTCCTTTCTACTGATGCTGGTAGATCTGCTAATAATCCAATGCAGCATTTTCTCCATTTTTACATTGAAAATATGCTGCATTGAATTATATCTCTCGCGCATAATCTCCATTCCAGATCTAGCTAACATTAAACACCAGATCCCTGTACAGGCACTATGCAGCAAGGAAGAAGAACATTTTTCGGTATTAAAGGCATTATATTAATACAAGTTGTTATTGAAATACAGATGTTGTTAAACTTTAAACAGCGCAATAGTATTTATGCAGTGTATTTACAATAATGAAGCATCCCAAGACATTTGGCTGCAGTATTATAAAATAAAATTTGACACTGAACCACATAAGGCAATGTTAGACCAAATAGCGAAAAGCTTGGTCAAAAAGGTAAGTTTTAAGGAAAGCTTTAAAGGAGGAAATAGAGAGGAAGAAATGCTTACCAAGGGAATTACAGAGCATAGAGCATAGCCAACTGAAGATATGTCAACACTGATGAATAACTAAGTTCAGTGATGTTCAAGGGGCCGGATGAGTATAAATATCTATAGGAATTGTGCAGCTTTGGAGAAGATTACAAAAATAAAGAAGAGTGAAGCCATGAAGTAATATGAAAATGAGGTTGAGAATGTTAAAATCAAGACTTAGCTTAATGAAGGCATGTAGATTGCTGAGCAAAGGTTGGGTGGATGAATGAGACTTGGCATTTGAAGGATATGAGTGGAACAGTTTTGGATAACCTCGACTTTACAGAGGGTAAAAGGTGGGAGGTTGGACAGGACAGCGTTGGAATAGTCAAGCCTAGAAGTAAAGGCATGGGTGAAAGTTTCAGCAGCAGATTAATTAAGGCAGCAGGAGAGTAAGATGATGTCATGGAACTGGAAATAGTTGGTCTTAGTGATGACATAGATGTGTTATCTGAAGCTCATCTTGGTTTAAATATGACATACAGCTTGCAAACATCTGGCCCAATCTCTGACAGTTGCCAGGAAGAGGATTGGAGTTGCAAGGAAAGGAACAGATTTGATAATAAAGACCAAAGGCAATACTTAACATTTAATTAAGATTTCTGCACATCAAGGTCTGGATGTTAATCAAGAGTCTGATACTTTAACAATGCTGGAAGAGTCTGGAAGGGTGACAGTGAAGTAAAGCTGGGTGTCATCAGCGTCTATATGAAAACTACTACTTTGGCTCAAATGATGCTGTCAAGGGGCAGTATGTAGATGCGAGTGAGGAGGGGACTAAAGCTAGATACTTGGGATTCACCTGAGGTACCACGTGGAAACAGGAAGACAAGTCATTCCAAATGATACCCTGGGCACAATAAAACAGCAAAGAGTGAAACCAGGTAAGTACACTCCCATGCAGCTGGACAATGCTGGAAATGTGTTGGACGTGAATGAATTAATACCAGCTGTGCCTGTAAAGGAGCAAGTAAAATGTAAGCCCCCTGGGAGATTCAGAAGGATTTTATAGGCAAGACAAGCAGAGATTTTATCTTAACAACTTTCAATAAAGTGTTTGAAATTCATTCATACTTTTAATAAGCAACAACTCGCACGTCAAAGACTGAAATAACATATAGACCTCAAAGCGAGAGACAGTGTGGGTAATCACGAGTCTGTATAAAGGGCAAACCTCTAGTGCCTGGGCTGCTCCTGACACACTAACAACTGTTTCCCCAGTACACAGCAGAAGGTAGACGAACAGAGAAGGCAAGGGTGCATATGAAAGAGTGGGGAATGGGACAATGGAGCTTATTTCACTATAAGGTTCTCTTTTACTTTTTGAAAAGGTTGAGCCATTATGTGGTCAGAGGGAGGTGCCACTTCTACTGTGCTATAGGGAAACAGTTGTTAATGTGTCAGGAGAGAGCTAGGCAAATGACTTCAGCAGCTGTAGGGGAGGACAGTGGGACAGTGGTATTGGTTCTTTCTTTTTATCTGTGTATAAGTAAGCCTTATTGGATAAAAATGGAGGACTATTGAAACACAACTGTCATCACTAAGGATAAAATGAAACAAGACTGTGTACAAAACTATTTTTTTTCATTCAAAAATACCAAAATCAGAACTTTTTATGACAATATAGCAACTTGTTTCTTAAGACAGACAACAATGGAACTGCAGCTCTGGAAGTAATCAGTGCTACTGCAGCAAACCTGTACATAAAGCAATCTAATGTTCATTTGTCCTTTTCCCTCTTCAACTGCAGTCTAGTGCTTACAACAGTGAAGCCATGAAAAGAATTCATACATGATGCTAAACAAAGGCAAAGAGTTAGCCACCAATTAACTT